ACCTGTAGCCACAGCTACTCCGGAGGCTGAGGTGGGAGGATCACTTGACACCAGGAGTTTGAGGCTGCAGTGAGCTGTAATTGTGCCACTGCACTCCAGCCTGAGTGACAAAATGAGACCCCATCTCTTAACAACAACAGCAAAGTTTAGACAAGATGACATTTTATGTCACTTTTCTTATTTTTATTTATTTTTTGAGACAGAGTCTCTCTCTGTTGCTCAGGCTGGAGTGCAGTGGCCTGATCTCAGCTCAATGCAACTTCCACCTCCCGGGTTCAAGTGATTCTCCTGCCTCAGTCTCTTGAGTAGCTGGGACTATAGGAGCGTGCTACCATGCCCAGCTAATTTTGATATTTTTAGTAGAGACGAGATTTTACTATGTTGGTCAGGCTGATCTCAAACTCCTGACCTTAAGTGATCCTCTCACCTTGGCCTCCCAAAGTGCTGGGATTACAGGCGTGAGCCCCTGTGTCCGGCCATTTTAGGTCACTGCCTAACAGTAGTGTAATGGTGTCAAATTGCTTAATGAAGATTTTTGGAAATATATATGCTGGGGGGAGGGAGGATAATAGATTTTTTTCTAGCTATCTCCCACAGGGTTATAGCCTGTCCCCCGATAAGTGTGAGGAGGAATAACCTGGAAACAGGTCTTCTCAGTCTTTTTTCTTGTAAACTAATGTGTGTTCTATAGTTAATTTCCTACAAGTAAGTGACCTCCACCTTAACCCGCTCTTTCGTTTTGGTAAAGGCTATAGAGTGAATAATGTAGACCAGCCTGACCAACATGGTCCCTACCAAAAATACAAAATTAGCCGGGCATGGTGGCGGGTGCCTGTAAACCCAGCTACACACAAGGCTGAGGCAAGAGAATCACTTGAACCCAGAAGGCGGAGGTTGTAGTAGGCCGAGATAGCACAATTGCACTCCAGGCTGGCAACAAGAGCAAAACTCTGTCTCAAAAAAAAAAAGAAAAGCAGCCAGAAGGCTGAGGTGGGAGGATTGTTTGAGCCTAAGAGTTGGAGATGAGTGTGGGCAGCATAAGGAGACCTTATCTCCACAAAAAATTTGAAAAATTAGCCAGGTGTGTTAGTATATGCCTGTGGTCCCAGCTACTCAGGAGGCTGTGGCAGGAGGATTGCTTGAGTCTGGGAGGTCGAGGCTGCAGTGAGTCGTGATCACACCCCTGCACTCCAGCCTGAACAAAAGAGCAAGACTATCTCTGGGGGAAAAAAAAAAAAGAAAAAGAAAAAGCAAGACTGTTTGGCTCTGCCACTGCAGGTTGTACTACCTTGGACAAATTCATCTTTCTCTAACACCATTTCGTTGTTAGATGTAGATTAAGTGATTAATAATTAAAAACATACTAATATGGAATGAACATGGAAGGGAATCCGGCATATTGCATTGTATACGTGTTATATAACGCTAGTTATGAGTTAGCTACTAACTTACTTTTGGCATTGTAATGAAATACCACCAGGGAAAATTCAGTTATAATTGATGAAAACTCAAATTAACAAATTACCTTACAACTTATTCACAACAAATTATTTGATGGATAATGATTCTAGTGTTTTGTTGTTTTTGTTTGTTTATTTTAGAGACAGGGTCTCACCGTGTTGCCCAGCCTGGCCTCAAACTCCCAGGTTCTGGCTAGCCTCCTGCTTTGGCTTCCCGAAGTGCTGGGATTCCCGGCATGGGTCACTGTACCCAGCCTTGATAGACTGATATATATTTTTTACTCATTTGTTTATTTTACAGCTTATGAAATATTTTTAATTTGGTGTTCATAATTCTTCCAGGTAGGTAATAACAGATGAAAGATAATGAAAGAGTCTCAAATTAGTTTGCTCTACTATAAGATAGCTCTAATAGTAGTAGGTTGAATCTGGCTTTTTTTGTTTTTTGTTTTTGAGATGGAGTCCAGGCTGGAGTGCAGTGGCACAATCTTGGCTCACTGAAGCCTTTACCTCCCAGGTCCAAGCAGTTCTCCTGCCTCAGCTTCCCCAGTAGCTGGGATTACAGTTGCCCACCACCATGCCTGGCTAATCTTTGTATTTTTGATAGAGACAGGGTTTCACCATGTTGGCCAGGCTGGTCTTGAACTCCTGACTTCAAGTGATCCACCCACCTTGGCCTTCCAAATTATTGGGATTACATGCATGAGTCACCGAGCCCAGCCTTGAACCTGGCTTATTATTCTTAATGCATGTTCCACATTTATATACAAAAGGAGTGGGCAGTCTCTGAAGAAGCAGGATAAAATTTGATGTGCTACTGCTTAACCTTCTTGAGGTGCTACTGCTTAACTTTCTCTCCAGTTCTTATTAAAGCTTCTTATTGATTAGAGCTCCCTTAAAGCTAAGCCTTTCTTCCATGTTAGGTCGACATCCACAATCATTGTTTCAGATTTGAGCCTTGAACACATGTAAGTAGACGGTTTGTAGCAGAGACTGAAGTCTGCCTAAGCAAGCGTATTTCTTCCATTACTCATTGATGGTGGATGCAGAAAACTATTCAAGTCTTACAGGCATCATAACAGGAGAGTAGACAGCTAGATGTCTAAGCTGCCAATAGAGGATGCCAGTGTCATGGCTGAGTCTGAGGAATAAAGCTGCTTCACATGAAACTACCTAATGTTGTATTGCTATATTTTCAAAATTAAAAGAAGAGACAATCATTGTAAGAAAATAATCCATGGGCATCATAAATAGTTTGCACTTGTCAGATCAAATGTGTGTGTATACTTTCCTCTGCTGACACTTAGAAAAATCTTAATTGTTTTACGTTTCACTATTCCCATTCCTGGTTTCCATATTTGCTTTTCTGTAAACTGACACAGTACATCTGTATGAAATCTAGCTAAGGTCTGCCAACTGTCACACTACGGTAAGGCATTAGATTAGGGTTCCCATCTATGCATATGGTATGACGTGTGTTGTCTTAAAAAGGCACATTGATAAAAATTAATTACAGTAAAAGACAGATTAAAATGAACAATTATAATTTTTAAATCTAAAATAAATTTTGATAAAATCTAAAAATATAAAACTCTTCTCTCAAAAGAATTGGGATTACAAGCATGAGCCACCACACCCAGCCTAAGAATAAATATATTTATAAGGCTTGTTTGGTAACGTTATCAATATATAACCATCGACTTTATTCACTTATGTGTACTTGGTAAGGCCATTGCTATTCTGAAGATAAATATATTCAATATTACTCTTTGATTCACATTATACCTTTTGTAATGTTTTAAGATATTAATTCCGCCGGGCGCGGTGGCTCAAGCCTGTAATCCCAGCACTTTGGGAGGCCGAGGCGGTTAGATCACGAGGTCAAGAGATTGAGACCATCCTGGTCAACAAGGTGAAACCCCGTCTCTACTAAAAATACAAAAACTTAGCTGGGCATGGTGGCGCGTGCCTGTAATCCCAGCTACTCAGGAGGCTGAGGCAGGAGAATTGCCTGAACCCAGGAGGCGGAGGTTGCAGTGAGCCGAGATCGCACCATTGCACTCCAGCCTGGGTAACAAGAGCAAAACTCCGTCTCAAAAAAAAAAAAAAAAAAAGATATTAATTGCATGCTGTTAGTTATGAGGCAGGCATGAAAAATTCCTTTAAAACCTTAATTGTAAAAATTCTCTGTACCATCTGTACTCCTCCTTCAAAAGCCAGCTATATGTCTGGCTTGACTTAGTTCCCTCTACTTAAAAAAAGCGGGGAGGCCCAAAAGAAGAGTCTCGTAGACTTCTACAATCTGATTTCCAGCTCTGGGCAGCCTGGACTGGCAGAAGGACAAGTTCTAAGAAAGCACCATGTAGTTGCCCATTTTCACGATGCTGATAAAGAATACTCAGACTAGGACTGGGTAACTTATAAAGAAAGAGAGGTTTAATGGACTCACAGTTCCAAGTGGCTGGGGAGGCCTCACAATCATGGTGGAGGGCAAAAGGCATGTCTCACGTGGCAGCAAGCAAGAGAGAAAACAAGAGCCAAGCAAAGGGGTTTCCCCTTTTAAAAACGTCAGGTCTTGTAAGCCGTATTCACTACCATAAGAATAGTATGGGGAAAACTGCCCCCATGATTCAAGTAACTCCCACCAGGTGCCTCCCACAACATGTGGGAATTATGGGAGCTACATTTCAAGATGAGATTTGGGTGGGGACACAGCCATGCCATAGCATACCCTTATCAAAGATAACTTTCCCAATGCATTATTTGATATACAGATATTTTACATTTCCCTTTTAAAATATAAACACCACCAGCCCCTACCCTTGTTGAATGAGGGCTCTTGATAGCTCACTATGAATTACAGTAATATATTTAAGTCATGTCTTTTAAGAGCAGATACTTTTTAAAGAGAGGGCAGGTGAAGGAGAAGTGATAACTTGGGGACTAGCAGGTGAGGCCGAGGTGGGATGCCTCAGGAGAGGCAGCTTGACAGCTAGAGAGGAACATGGGAGGACCCCAAAGACTGACTTCATCCATCTTCCAACTTCATAATTTTTATAAGATACTCAGCTGACAAGTACATTCCCCCTCAACCCCTCAACTCATCCTGGGGCTGCCATTGGCTAAATAATCTGATGCTTTACGTAAAGCCACAAACAGAGGGCATGTTACCATATAAGCTGAAGCATCTGCCTGACTATATCATGCGTATATATTGTATCTGTGTAATAATATAAATGGATCTAACATTTATCTTTGATGTTAAGAATGCTTTAGTAGGCTATGACACTTGGATAGCTATCAATCCAATTTTCAATACTTCTGAGAAGAAACAGCAAGAATTTACTGTGCACTTTCTACCCTTCCGGCAGCCACTTCCACCTCCCCTCCAACCCAAGTAATTTTTTTTTATTAGAAGTAAATATTAGAAGTAATATTAGAAGTAAAACCAAATGACAGATTGCACTTTAGGATTTTACAAAATGTGTAGACATAGTCTGCTCAGAAACATAGATCTAAAAACATAAATCAGCAACCACGTGTCAGTAGCAAATACTATTTATCAAGTGGTAGTATTAAAATAAGGAAGAGAATTAGAGTTGCAGGCTTAAATTTCTTTTAAATGCTTTAGCTATCTGCTCCATAACACTATATTTTTTTCAAGCAATTAGCTCTTGATAAAGAATCACTGGTAGTTAAGATCTAGAAAGCTGCTTGTCTCCCAGCTGCTAATAGGATGGTACTGAAGTAGTCTTGTAGTTCTTTGAATTAAGTGCCCTAAAATAGGAAAATAAACACACATTAATTTTATAGTGCAGGTCAAATACCTGTACATTCTTCATTCTTTTTTTTTTTTTTTTTTTTTTTAAAGACAAGGTCTCGCTCTGTCACCCAGGCTGGAGTGCAGTGGTGCAATCACGGTTCACAGCAACCTCAACCTCCTAGGCTTTTAAGCAATCCTCCTGCCTCTGCCGCCCAAGTAGTTGGGTCTACAGGCATGCACCACCATGCCTGGCTAAATTTTTTTTTTTTTTCTTTTTCTTTTTTTGAGACGGAGTTTTGCTCTTGTTACCCAGGCTGGAGTGCAATGGCGCGATCTCGGCTCACCGCAACCTCCGCCTCCTGGGTTCAGGCAATTCTCCTGCCTCAGCCTCCTGAGTAGCTAGGATTACAGGCACGCGCCCCCATGCCCAGCTAATTTTTTTGTATTTTTAGTAGAGACGGGGTTTCACCATGTTGACCGGGATGGTCTCGATCTCTTGACCTCGTGATCCACCGGCCTCGGCCTCCCAAAGTGCTGGGATTACAGGCTTGAGCCACCGCGCCCGGCCGCCTGGCTAATTTTTATATTTTTTGTAGAGACAGAGTTTTGCCATGTTGCCTAGGCTGGTCTTGAAATTCTGGGCTCAAGCAAGCTGCCTGCCTTGGCCTTCCAAAATGCTGAGATTACGCACGTGAGCCACCATGCCCAGCCTATCTGTCCATTCTTATAAAAACTTTTTTCATTAAAAAATTTAAAACTAATGCTCTTTGTAACATATTAACAATCCAAAGCCAAAATTTTCTCAACTTAAAATACTTCATTAAAGCCAAATATACATAGAACATATAATTTAAGAAGGAAAACAACTACAGAATCAATTTTAAAACTACTGTCCAAAGGTTTACTAGTTTTAAAATTAGGGTAAAAGAAGCTAGAACTTGATTTAGGATAATGTTTTGATAATGTACTATAAAAAGAAAGAGATGTCAATAAATTCAAAATTACTAAACAGAAGATAAACTTCTGATTTTTCAAAAGAACAATCACTTATTCTTCTCTTTCTCCCTGCTCCAAACATATATGCTACAGCATCATAGAACTTTCTCAGGTTTATTCTCTGGATAGAAAATAACACACAGAAAACCTGAAATACTGTCCTCTTTCCCCCTCACACACAAAGTTCCATCTATCCGAGGGTGGGTGTGATGCGGAAAATTCCAATTTTGCCATCTGTTTATTAGATGAAGTTGGGCAGAGTAGTGATAGGTGGCTTGCCAGAGGTTAAAGGTTAAAAAGACAGAAAAAAGCTTCATATCTTCCTGTTTCTAAGTCCAATATTCCATCAACTAGCCCACAGATAATAATATTCCTGTCAACAACAGTTTAAATTACATACATTTACCCTAATATCTAGGGGAATCGTGGCTCAGTGACACAGATCAGTTTCTGTTAATTCATAAAATGTGAATTTTGCTAGGCCAAAATCAATTACTTATTCCACAAAATTGTCACCAAAGTACTATAAAGAGTAGGTAAAATAGGCAAAAATCAGTCATTATCATCATCTACTTTAGCATATTATATAATAAAACCCATATAGGTTAAGCCGCCATTCAAAATATCTTTCCGGCCAGGCGCAGTAGCTCATGCCTATAATCAGAAATACACCTTTTTGGTTTTTTTGGTTTTTTTTTGAGATGGAGTTTCACTCTTGTTACCCAGGCTGGAGTGCAATGGCGCGATCTCGGCTCACTGCAACCTCCGCCTCCTGGGTTCAGGCAATTCTCCTGCCTCAGCCTCCTGAGTAGCTGGGATTACAGGCACGCGCCACCATGCCCAGCTAATGTTTTGTATTTTTAGTAGAGACAGGGTTTCACCATGTTGGCCAGGATGGTCTCAATCTCTTGACCTCATGATCCACCCACCTCGGCCTCCCAAAGTGCTGGGATTACAGGCTTGAGCCACCGCGCCCGGCCCATGAAGGGCAGTATTTTTGTGTGTGTAATAATGATGTTAGTATTGTAATTACTATCCCCAAGTGATAAAGATGTATTACCATTTTTATAAAAGAATGTAAACTTAGTGTCCTTTAGACACAGAATAATTGACTGTTTTTGCTCCAAAGAACTTTTTCAGTTTTGAGACTGTACAAAACCTGGATAAAATTTAAGTTTTAAGATACTTTGATAATATACTTTTTCTCAAAGCATTATAGTTATGTTGGCATTTTTAATTAACCAGAATATTTCCTATTTTCACAGGTTATCTCAACATTAAAGACAGAACTCTCAGGCATCATTAGGATTCCTCACAACTGCTAAGAAACTCCCTTTGAGAAATAGCCAATGATAACCTGTACTGCTAACTGAACTATGAATATCTAACTAGTCTGAAATGACTCACACTAAGGCGCTACAGATTTGCTGTAAAAATTATGCACAGAATGGTTTGGTGCAGATAAGTTAGGCTTTTTCAGCTGAGAATTTCCGAAGATGAGAGAGAATTTCTACAAGGGAGGGCAGGTATCTGTACATGGAAGGAGCTGAGATGTCTAAAGTCACCCAAACTTGTCATTTTAAAAAGTATGTATAAATAAAAGATACTATTTTGAAAAAGGATAAAAGTTGGAAACAATTTTTTGTTGGCTTATAAGCCTAAGTGTGAAACATTCCTACCTTCTGACATTCAAAGTCATTATACTTTCAACTGGTCTGCTCTTTGGTCCACTTGGTGGGTGGAAAATCTTATCGTCTTTGCCAGGAATCTTTGCCAATTTAGTCACATAAGGGTCGGCAGAATGTGATGGGTAAGGATCAAACGTTCCTGCCTTCATTCCACCAGGCTGCAAAGAAAAATGAGACAACTTAATGTGATTTTGTAAAATGCCTCTACAAAATTAGCTTGTGAAGAAGTTCACACATATTTTGGTAGCCTGCGGAGTCGGTTTTAAAGGAAATGATACTGTTTAATTCAAATACCACCAAAAGGTCTCCCTATCACCAGCTTTACAGGGTCAAAACATCATAATCCAAAAGCTCTCTATAAAAATGACAATGTTTATAGTAAGGTAACAATCTAAACTAATTGCCAAGCATTAATATTTTAGAGTTTATCACACCAGGCTTTCACTTGGTTAGAAAGTGAGTCTATTAAGTAAGGGAAAACCTAGGTCAGATGTATTTTGATAGAGAATGGGGAACAAGGAGGATGGCACAACATGAGTTTACTAAATGCAGTCAGTGATGGAGAAGATACTTAAAAAAAGCAATAAGCAATAGCATATGGAAATAGAAAGTGGGAGGCAAACGTTCTTGTAGTAGACTAAGAGAAGTCAATCAAAATATGTTTCAACCTATACTCAAGACAGAAATATTTGCTTTGACTTTTTAAACTGATTTGACAGAATTTTAAACTTTATATTCTATATAGTCATCAGGAAAATTCTGTAGAATCCTAACTCATTTAATTAGGCACCCTTTTCTTATAGTATATATGCCAAATATACATGAAGATTTAATTCATTTGAAAGACACAATTATAAGTTTTCAGGTTTTCCCGACTGAAAACACATGGATTAAAGATCACAATAATAAGAAAACTTAAGAAAGCTTAAATAAATTAAAAGTATAAAAGCAAAATGAATTAAAAATAGAAAAAACACGGATTAAATAAATCCAAGTGATGCTTTAAAAAGTAGATTAATAGCTAAATCTGTAATAGAATCCAGAATGCAAAAGAAGTGAGGAAAGTCTATACTTATCTTAAATATCAAAAATATAAAATAATATTTCTGTAAATTTCTATGTGAATAAATTCAAAAACCTGAATGAAATGACTGATTGTCTAAGAAAATATAAATAATCAACATCAACCAAAAAGAGATAGAAAACCTACACAAAACAGATGTCCCTATGCAACAATCCTGCATGATCTGCACATGTGCCCCAGAACCTAAAGTACAATAAAAAATAAAATAAATGTTAATACATCAAAAAATATAAAGAGTAAATTTTATAATAATATATCAAAGGTCTTTTCCTTTCTGGAACTTTAGAAAATAATTCTGAAGTTCTGAGAATACGACAGAATAACCAGCATAACTTTTTTTTTTTTGAGACAGAGTCTCACTCTGTTGCCCAGGCTAGAGTGCAATGGCACGATTATGGCTCACTGCAACCTCCGCCTCCTGGGTTCAAGTGATTATCCTGCCTCAGCCTCTGAAGTAGCTGGGATTACAGGCACCTACCACCACGGTAGGCTAATTTTTTATATTTTTAGCAGAGACAGGGTTTCATCATCTTTGGCAGGCTGATCTCGAACTCCTGACCTCATGATCTGCCCACCTCGGACTCCCAAAGTGCTGGGATTACAGGCGTGAGCCCCCATGCCCAGCCAGCATAATTTTAAAGAGTAAGAAGAGACTAGACCACTCACTATTAAACATAATAGAAATTAAAAGGTTTTTTTGGGGGCAGAAATAGTCAAATGAAATGAAAACTCAGAAACATACCTTCAAAAATAAGAATTTGGGGTTTGATAAAAATGGCATTTCAAAGTAATGGTGTTAAAAATGAATTATTCCATCAGTCATATTAGGAAAAACTTGACTTTTTAAAAAATTGGTTTTATTAAAGTCTAATTCACCTATGATAAACTATACTCCATTTAAAGTGTACAATGCTATGAGTTTTGACAGATGTCTACACCCTTGAAATGACTATCACAATTAAGATACAGAACATTTCCACTGCCCAAAGTGTCCTCATACCCCCAAACTAAATAAAAGCTGGATTCCTACCTCACTCTTTGCATCAAAATGTATTTTAGATAAATATTTAAATGCAAAAGGATAGGACTAAAGGAAGAAATTAAGAAGACACATTATTCTAATATTGGTGGTAAAGAGCCATTCTGAAAATGACATAAACGTTACCGACAATGGACTGATAAATCTGACTACATCAACTTATTAAATTCCTGAACAGCACAAAATACCATAACCAAAGATCCAAAAGATTTTAAAAATTATTTTTAACACAAATAACAAAAGTAGTACCCTTAATATATGAAGAGATCTTACAAGACATCTTACAGTATCAAAATCATAAACTTTGAAGGTCTGCAAGAAAAATGAACAGGCAATTTACAGAAAAAAATATAGACTCAGGTTTATAAACTGCTGAAGCATTTTATTTTTATTATCACTTGTTAACTTCTGCAGTAGGGAGATAGTTAATTTTAATTACCATTTCAAAAACTAAAGGATGGTTTGGCTTTTTATGGTTTTAAAAAAAAACTAGACCTGCTGGGCGCAGTGGCTCAAGCCTGAAATCCCAGCACTTTGGGAGGCCGAGGTGGGTGGATCACGAAGTCAAGAGATTGAGACCATCCTGGTCAACATGGTGAAACCCTGTCTCTACTAAAAATACAAAAAATCAGCTGGGCATGGTGGCGCGTGCCTGTAATCCCAGCTACTCAGGAGGCTGAGGCAGGAGAATTGCCTGAACCCAGGAGGCAGAGGTTGTGGTGAGCCGAGATCGCGCCATTGCACTCCAGCCTGGGCAACAAGAGCGAAACTCCGTCTCAAAAAAAAAGAAAAAGAAAAAAGAAAAACTAGACCTAGGGTGTAGAGAAGCACTTCAAAACTTCATTATGAATTCACCGGCGTGGTAGCACGAACCTGTAATCCCAGCTACTCTGGAGGCTGATATAGGAGAAACGCTGGAACTCAAGAGGCGGAGGTTGCAGTGAGCCTAGATCATGCCACTGCACTTCAGCCTGGGTGACAGAGTGAGACTCCGTCTCAAAAAAAAAAGAAAATCAGTATAAATTCAAATACATTTGAAGAGACTAACAATCACTTCATGACAAGAGCTTCATTATCCCCTACACTATATTCATACTTGGTGATTTCAGGTAATTTTGTAAAAATGGGTGACAGGATTCTTGGTATCAATACAAACAAAAGTTTATTATATACATAGGAAAAAAATCATTTGACAGCAAGAGACAGTATTTCTTTATAATGCTTAATTTTTTTCATCCTAAAATTGTTAGCTTACCTTTTTACCAGGAGAAGAAGGTTTAAAAGTGTTTGAAATTGCTTCTTTCTTCTCTTCTTTTTTAATTGGTGGTAAAGGTCCCTCAGAAAAATAAGGGTTAGCATCAAAATAGTCCCTTGGGTGAAGATTTAACTTAAACGGTGCTCCTTTAAGTAAACGATGGTGTTCTTCATTCGCTTTCTGTAAATTTGAAATTGCATAGGATAGGTTACACAAATTGAAAATAACCCAGAGTTAAATCTTTTACATTTTAATATAAACATGATTCTTAAGTACATATTGCTAGGTGCACTTTTTTAAAACATTAATTTGCTAAGTTTTATTTTTATGATACAAAAGACATGCCTACTTACAGACAAGCAGAACTATGATTATTCACTTTGGATACAAATTTCTTTGTGGTACTGAGACCTTATCACCTGAACAAATCTATGTGAACCACCTGGGTAGTATGATGCAGTATAAAGAGACTTGTCTCTAGTTCAAGCCCTTCCTGCTTCGCAGCATTTCACAAAGACTGGGAAAGTTATCTTTTAGTGTCACATCATCTTCAACTGTAAATGAGGATATTATTATTCTCCCCTTAATGTAAATGAGGACATTATTATTCCCCCCTTAATGCAAATGAGGACATTATTATTCCCACCTTAATGCAAATGAGGACATTATTATTCCCCCTTAATGCAAATGAGGACATTATTATTCCCCCCTTAACGTAAATGAGGACATTATTACTCCCCCTTAACGTAAATGAGGACATTATTATTCCTCCTTAATGCAAATGAGGACATTATTATTCCCCCTTAATGCAGATGAGGACACTATTATTCCCCCTTAATGAAAAGTTATCTTTTAGTGTCAATCATCTTCAACTATAAATAAAGACATTATTATTCCCCCTTAATATAATACATGAGATTATATGATTTTATATATATGAGATGTGTATATATAACATTTTTATAATTTTTAAAAATATTTTATATGTACATGAGATTATACCTATATCATATATATGTATATATGTATACATGTGTATATATGCATACATGTATGTATACGTAGCTATATATGTATATACATATAAATATGCATATATATGTATAGATATTTACACATATTTATATATGTATATATGTATATATAACATTTTCATAATATTTTTTGCTATCTAGTATTCAAAGCAAAACAGCAGCCACTTTTTTCCTATGTTGTAATCATTTCTACCAGAAAGACTAAGTATATAAATCACTGTCTATTAATAAAGTAGCAAAAAATCACATTATGAAATATAGATTCAAAAAGACAACCATACAGTGAATATCGATACATTTTCACTCTTTGTAAATATAAAATCTGGTAAATAATCCAACAAACTGCACTGAAAACACTCGATAAATGAAATCTACAACAGATAGTTATTTGAGAGAAGACTAACTTTTGCTACTAGGAACCCCACTGTGGCACTTTCCAAATCCTTCCCTCTTTTTGGATTTTTCTCTTGCCCTTGCTTATCCTCCTTCCTTGTAGGACATTCATGCATTCTTGGTGATCTGCTCTCCACCCTTCCATATCACAACAATGGTACTCAAAATTTATTCTATTGATCTTTTGGGCAGTGTTCCGCAAAATTTAAGTGTCATGGGAATCACTTGATAAGTTATTCAAATTACAAATCACCAAGCCTTTCCCTCAAAGATTTCCGATGGCATTGGTCTGCTGTATGGCCCATTAATGGGCAGTTTTAACAGTCACCCTCAGTGATTCTCATGCATGTGATTATAATGTAATGTTTTAGGATCACTTTTTGCTAGAGCATAGTCACCTTTTACCAGAAGAATACTGTATTTGTTTTACCAACCCCTGCCCTGGAATGTTCAGTTGATCAGCAGATCTGTGAGAAACTATTCAAAGCCAAAAAGAACCACCTGAAAGAGTATGAGGCAACAGTGTCTGGCTCTCACACAGAACCGGGAATTGTGCTGGTTGCCATCAGCTGTGCAAGAAAACTTCTTAATTCACAGGGCGTCGGATGGAGTGCCTAGAAAGGTCTTGCCTCAACAGGGGGGAATAATTAGCCCTAGATTGATCATAACTCCTATCACACCTAACAAATCTTAAATACAAGACCTGAAAAAATAAAAACCATTGCTAAGTAATCTGACAGCATTCCAAAACAAAGCCCAAGAATATTTATAAGAATACAAAAACATATAGCACCCAACAAAGTAAAATTCTCAGTATTTGACATTCAGTAAACAATTGCCACTAATTCAAAGTAGCAAAATATGACCCCATACTGAGAAGAAAAATCAATTACTTAAAATTAACCAAGAACTAACGTAGATGTTAGCACTAACAGAAAAGGGCATTAAGACAGTAACCATATTCTATTTGTTCAAAAGGTTAAGTAGAGACATGTAAGACATTAAAAATTCTCAAACTTCTAGAGAGCAAAACCATAATGTATGAGATTAAAAATACACTGGTTGACATTAACAGCAGATTGAAAGTTACAGAAAAGTAATTAGTGACTTTGAAGATGCATCAAATAAAATACAGAGAAGGAAAAAAGGACATTTTTTAAAGTTAATAGGGCATTGGTAAATTGTGGGACAATTTCAAGAGACCTAATACACATGTAACTGTAATCTCTGAAGGGGAAGAGAAAGAGAGATTAAAAATATGTGAAGAGGCCGAGGCAGGTGGATCACGAGGTCAAAAGATCGAGACCATCCTGGTCAACATGGTGAAACCCCGTCTCTACTAAAAATACAAAAAATTAGCTGGGCATCGTGGCGCATGCCTGTAATCCCAGCTACTCAGGAGGCTGAGGTAGGAGAATTGCCTGAACCCAGGAAGCAGAGGTTGCAGTGAGCCGAGATCATGCCATTGCACTCCAGCCTGGGTAACAAGAGCGAAACTCTGTCTCAAAAAAAAAAAAAAAAAAAAAAAAAAAAAAAAAAAAGTGAAGAAATAATAGTGTAAATATTACAAATTTGATTTGAAAAACTATAAACCCATAGATCCAAGAAGCTCAATAAACCCCAAGAATAGAAGGATAAAAGGAAACAGCACAAAGTCACATCATAATCAAACTAATTAAATAGTCATAAAAGGAAAAAAAAAAAGTAGAGAAAAGGACACATTACATACAGAACAAAAATGAGCAAGACAACACGTTTCTCATCAGAAACAATTCAAACAGGAAGACAGTGGAGTAATCTCTTAAAAATACTAAAAGAAAAAGATACATTTTGAAAATTACTTTTAGAATATTAGCAAATCTAGGACCATAAAATTTCTGACTTATGTGTAAGTTCTAAAAATGAGAATAAAAAAGCTTTTCCTGTTAAGAGAGAAAACTATCTTTTACCCAATAAATATAGGGTGAAAGATTAATTACTGAGCCACTGTAAAATTCCACTGTACATAGTTATGTAGTATGTATGCATCATTATTCCTATGGATGAAAAGCAGTTTACACACTATTTTATAAGAACAAAGGTTTCTGTCCAATTTAACAGAAAACTGTTCCTGAGTTTGGACATGGCCATTTGCAAAATTGGTCATTATTCTCTCACATTCCACTGGTACTTAAAATCACCATAGCAAAACTGTTAAAGCCTGCATGCCTATAAAAACAAAAAACTATAAAGTGATTGCCATTTAATGCTTAATGTCTAGATTAACTTGAATTTCCTTTACAACCAGCTTTCTTTATGTTATCTTGATATTGTGAAATTATGTTCATATGGTTCTAAAATTTATAAGAGTTCCTTTATTTATTTACACACAGACATTCCCTATATAAGTGAAAAGGTCTCAGCCAGGCGTGGTGGCTCACGCCTATAATCCCAGCACTTCGGGAGGCCGAAGCAGGTGGATCACGAGGTCAAGAGATCGAGACCATCCTGGTCAACATGGTGAAACCCCGTCTCTACTAAAAATACAAAAATTAGCTGGGCATGGTAGTGAGTGCCTGTAGTCTCAGCTACTCGGGAGGCTGAGGCAGGAGAATTGCCTGAACCCAGGAGGCGGAGGTTGCGGTGAGCCGAGATCGCGCCATTGCACTCCAGCCTGGGTAACAAGAGCAAAACTCCATCTCAGAAAAAAAAAAAAAAAATAAGGGAACAGGTCTCATCATAAGGCAAGTATTGTACACAGTGAGGGGCATATGCTAGTACCTTTCAGTTTTTATCTCTGCCACTTAATAAAGTGAGCAGTTTTCTCCTATCCTGTAACTCTCTCTCCTCACAGGATTCATCCACCCGTGAACTTCCACTCTTTCCCGTCACCCTGCCATTCATTCCTCCATCCCACATGCTCATCATAATGGCTTCTTGATCAGCCCAGAAGTATTGCCATTACTTTTGCAGGCACAGATAGCAGGATGTGATGGGAATACAGCTAAGAGTCAGGATATGACCCTTTACTTAAAATTAGAACATAGTTGATCAGACCAGGTTAATAGAAATTTCAAAGCTAGTGTAGAGAGATGTAAAACACATGTGGTAAGTCACAGCAAGAGATAAAATTCATCCCGGGGAAGGAGCTGAGAGGATCTACAGCAAGACATGAAAATCTAATAAAAGGGCAAAATTATCACAATTCATAAACATGAGTTTGTCACTGCCTCAGTGACACAAATAGAACAAAACAAAATTTGATCTCAAGTGAATTACTAATATTAACTAAATAAAATAAAAATTGAAACATTCAAAACAGATTATTTTACCTTATAATTTTGTTTTGGTGCGTCATAGAAGTCGGCAGCGTGTGAAAACTGTTTACCTATGGTAATATTTGCGTAGCTAAGGAAGCAAAGTAAGTCATGGTGACTTCAGAGTTCAGAAATTTAATTTTTAAAAATTTCAAAACATAATATGAGAAAGTATTAAAAACACCTTACCCATATCCAGTTCCTTTCTTTCCGGGGTTGGTGTATAAATTCTTTCCAGGTGCCTCGTACTTTTCTCGAGGTCTCGACTGCGCGCTGAAGAACGGCACTGGGCCGCCTATGGTTCCGTAGTAGCTTCCTAAGCCGCATCTTCAATAGGATGTTTTGACGTTTTAAAAGGAGGAGGTTAAAATGGCAAATTTTAAGTCTATAAGGAAATAGAGCAAGGATAATGCCGAGAAAGGAGAGCTATGCACAGACAGGCATAATTTACCCAGAACGTGATTTCACGCAAGCATTAAAAGTCACTCTATTTAGAATTTATTAAATGCCTGCAGTTCCAGGGGCGGGCGTGGTGGTTCACAGGTAATCCCAGCACTCTGGAAGGCTGAGCCAGCGGGTCAACTGCAGTCAGGAGTCTGAGACCAGCCTGGCCAACATGGCAAAACCCTATCTTTACTAAAAATACAAAAAACTAGTCGGGCATGGTGGCCTGTGCCTGTAGTCCCAGCTGCTCAGGAGGCTGAGGCAGGAGAATCGCTTCAACCTGGGAGGTGGAGGTTGCAGTGAGCTGAGATCACACCACTGCACTCTAGCCTGGGTGACAGAGCAAGACTCTATCTCACATACATACATACATACATGCCTATGCATCCATAATTTGGTGTTGAATATGTGCCTGTATGAGGGTATCTGATTTATAACACCAGTCTCTCTTTTTGGAAACACTTTCTGTATCCACTAAATTACAGATGTTTTTCACATATCTGTGAATTATTTTTTTTAAAGGAAAGCTTGTCTAATTATAAAACTGTTATTATTTCTTGGCTGACAGATGAATATAAGCATGTTATAAACTAATGTATTAAGGTAGCAATTCCCAATTATTACCACATGAGTAAAAGTTTATCACAGGCAGGAGAAAAGACTGAAAAATAGGAAAAAGTTATTTCAAGGGTAAAATGTATATATATATTCCATGAAAAAGAAAGAAAGTAGTGAAGGTAAAAAATCACATTTTTTAATTTATAGCTAAGAAAATGAAAAAGTTCAAGAAACAGTAATAACAATAAATTAAAAATTCAGATCTATCAAAAATGTCAAAAGGTAGAAAAAGATAAAATTAAATAAAAGAAGAAAATCCTCAATCTTTTTTTTTTTTTTTTTTTTTCTTTTTGAGACAGGGTCTCACTCTGCTGCCCAGGCTGGAGTGCAGTGACATGATCTCAGCTCACTGCAACCTCTACCTCCCAGGTTCAAGTGATTCTCCTGCCTCAGCCTCCCAAGTAGCTGGGACTAAAAGCATGCATTACCATGCTGGGCTAATTTTTGTATATTTTGTAGAGATGGGATTTTGTCCTGTTGCCCAGACTGATCTCAAACTCCTAGACTCAAGCAATCCATCTACCTCAGCCTCCCAAAGTGCTGGGATTACCGGTGTGAGCCACTGAACCCACCGAAAATCCTCATTCTTCTTTGTGTTTTGTTTTCTTTTTCTTTCTTTTTTTTTTTTTTTTTTTTGCATGCAGATAAAGGCTCGTTTTATTTTAATGGCTGATCTATGTAATCACGGAGGCCAGTATGTACAGACAAAGGGGGAGCTTTTATTTCTTGGTGTCTTCCTCCTTGGACAAAGTCTTGATGATCTCCTCCTTCTGGGCCTGGAGGCGCTCTTCACGGTGCTTTCGTGCTTCCTTGGTCTTAGACCCGCGGGCCTTAGCCTGGTCAGCCAGGAGCTGCTTGGGGCCTCGTCTGCCTTCAGCTTGTGGATGTGTTCCATGAGAATCCGCTTGTTTTTGGACACATTCCCCTTCACCTTCAGGTACAGGCTGTGATACATGTGGCGATCGATTTTCTCAGATTCCTGGTATCTTCTGAGCAGCCAGCGCAGAATCCTCATTCTCCTCATCCACGTGACCTTCTCTGGCATTCGGGCATTGGCTGTACCCTTACGCTTACCTATGCCCATGTGCCTGCCCTGTTGGTTGGCCAAGGTGCTTTTCCGGCAGCGGGCCCAGGAATGGACTGTCACAGGCTTGCGGATGATCAGCCCATCTTTGATCAGCTTCCGGATCTGCTGACGCGAGTTGGCATTGGCGATTTCATTGGTCTCATTCGGGTCCAACCAGACCTTCTTCTTGCCACAGTGGAGGATACTAGAGGTGAGCCTCTTCTGAAGCCTGAGCATACTCATGGCTGCGGCCGCAGCAGCGAAAGGCGTTTTGTTTTCTTTTTGAGACAGGGTCTCACTCTGTTGCCCAGGCTGGAGTGCAGTGACATGATCTCGGCCCACTGCAACCTCTACCTCCCAGATTCAAGTGACTTTCCTGCCTTAGCCTCCCAAGCCGCGGGGATTGCAGGTGACCGCCACCAAGCCCAGCTAATTTTTATATTTTTAGTAGAGACGAGATTTCACTATTTTAGCCAGACTGATCTCAAACTTCTGACCTCAGGTGATCCGCCCAACTCAGCCTCCCAAAGTGCAAGGATTACAGGCATGAGCCACCGTGCCCAGCCACAAATCCTCACTCTTAATAGTGACAATAATTTTGGCTGACATTGCCTACTGGAATTAGAAGGAAGTACAACTTATCCAAATGTAATTTAACTTGTCTCAAAGAATACAGTAAATAAGCACAAAATTAGACTTCAGTTATCTATCAAATTAATAAATTGACTTAAAGCTATTGGATGTGAATGAACATTACATTTTAAATCTCAGTTATATAACATTACGTTGACTATATGGTCTCATGTTAAAGTAATTGAATGGTAAGAAGAAAAGATCCTTCACATTGATGGTTGTCATAACTAAGATACTGTTAAAACCCATAAGTATATCTTCACAATAACTTTAAAATCATGTATCTTTGATAAATTCTTTTCTTTATCAAAAAAGAATTTCTGGCCAGGCACAGTGGCTCACACCTGTAATCCCAGCACTTTGGGAGGCCAAGTTGGGCAGATCACTTGAAGTCAGGAGTTTAAGACCAGCCTGGTCAACGTGGTAAAATCCCATCTCTATTAAAAATACAAAAGTTAGCCAGGCGTGGTGGCATATGCCTATAATCCTAGCTACTAGGGAAACTGAGGCAGGAGAATCGCTTGATCCCAGGAGGCAGAGGTTGCAGTGAGCCGAGATCATGTCACTGTACTCCAACCTGGGCAACAGAGCAAAATTCCATCTCAAAAAAAAAAAAAAAAAATTTGTCTTAATTCCACTTTTTTTTTTTTTTTTTTTTAGACAAGGTCTCATTTTAGATAAGGTCTCACTCTGACATACAGGCTGGAGTACAGTGGCTTAATCATAGTTCACTGTAACTTCATACTCCTGGGCTCAAGGGACCCTCTCACCTCAGCCTCCTGAGTAGCTGGGACTACAGGCACATGCTACCACACCCAGCTAATTTTTTAATTTTTGTAGAGATGGAGTCTCATTATATTGCCCAGGCTGATCTCAAACTCCCGGCCTCAAGCAATCCTCTTAGCTTGGCCTCCAAAAGTGCTGGGATTACAGGCATGAGCCACTGCACCCAGCCTCACATTTTTATTTATTCTTCTTTAACAGCAGAAAAAATAGTCAAGGGCACAGACACAATAATTAAAGGCAATTTTTTTTCCAATCTGACTTTTGCAAGGTTTTTGAACAAATTTTTTTTATTTAGGCTATTCTTACTATATCAACAAATAGACCACAGTGATATAGATAATCCAAACTTTAATATGATGAGAATATATTTAATCCAGATTACTTTTCAATCTAAGTCATCCAATACAACTATCTCCACCTAAGACAAACTAAGAATAATACTTAAAAATTCATTTCACATAAGTAAGTCCTACAGAAAAACAAACATTTAATTTAGGGATAAAGGTGCAAACAATCTATTTAAGACGTTTTCCAAAACACTTACGGCTTTTTATCTCCACTACTAGGGAGGAAGGCTTTGCTTAGATTCTTTTTGGCTGCTTGCATCATGTCCCGTCTCCTCACTTGATTCAGATTTATGTAGCCTTCACCTTCAAAAATCCTTACAAAATGAGGATCAAAATAACCTGCCTGAAGATCGGACATTTCTTTGGATCCCCCAGGTAGCATCTGTTTATTTTTGCTTGCAGCCTCATTAAAGGGTCCTTTAAAAATAAATTAGGGATGTTATAATTTTGAGCTTAATCTCAATTAAAGGACATGACAAATAAGAGAACAATTTCCCTGAAAGCTCTGTGTGAATGACTATCTTGACAATAAGACCTAAGAGGTTTTCATCAAAACATTTTAATATGTAAGGTCTTGGTTATACACTCTGAGTTTTAGAGCTGGTAGAGACCCTAAAGTCATCTAATTCAATGTTTCTCCAGCTATATACTAGGAAGCACTGCATGAGATATCAGTAAGAGTATGTGCACATGTTGAAGAGAAGGGTGTTTCACACTCAAATGGAAGCAATTCCTCTCTAGGGCATACACTTAAGACACACGAGTGTCTATGGCTACTAAAAGACATTAGCAAGAATGTTCATAGCAGTTTTATTCATAATAATCAAAAACATAAAACAGCCCAACTGTCCATCAATAGGAGAACAGATTTTTAAACTGTGGAATTTATACTATGAAATGCTAGTAGCCCAGTAATTTTTTTAAAGACTGTTTTAATATGTATTTAGAACTTCTTTCATAATTTCCATCTAGGAATGCTCTATTTGAGGATAGCTTTGGTAATGTGTAGAATGTTGTTTTGAAGTGCACACAATCCTTAATTCAACTGGCTATTAAAATGTGAATCTGTATCACTGACTTTTTTAAAGTTTTTTTTTTTTTTTTTTTTTTTTTTTAACAAGGTCTTCTGTCACCAAGGCTGGAATGCAGTGGTGTGATCATGGCTCACTCTAGCCTCAACCTCTTGGGATCAACTGCCTGCCTCAGCCTCCCAAGTAGCTGAGACTACAGGCACATGACATCATGCCCAGCTAATTTTTGTATTTTTTGTAGAGACAGGGTCTCACTATGTTGTCCAGGCTTGTCTTGAACTCCTGGCCTCAAGCAATCCTCCCGCCACCACCTCCCAAAGTGCTGGGATTACAGCTGTGAGCCACCACATCTGGCCAACCTCAATTTTTGAAAAGGTAATACATTCAAATAGTTCCAAATTCAAAAGTTCAAACATTTTCACAAGAAGTCTTTTTCTATACTTGGCCACCCAATTCTTCTTCCACAGGCAAAGAGATAACCATTTTGTTTCCCAAAGAATATTCAGGTATGTTCGAGTGAATGTTTTCATATACATCCTTTTTCATTTTTTTAAAATGCTCTCTCAGAATCACGCTGTTAATTCTTAGCGCACTATATATACTATTCTGCACCTTGCTTTTTTATTTAATAATGTATCTTGGAGAAGTCTCCAAATCAGTATTTTATTTTGTATTATTATTTAGAAGTAATTGGGTCTCCAAAAATTGAACTGAGACATTTAAATATTCATGTATATTAGCTCTTTTTATTCCTTATGACTTTCGTAAAACCCCTCAGCCTTTCATTTGCATTGCATTTCTCAGGAAGGTAATAATGGATGGCCTACTTGGATGCAAATGCAAATGCTGTTTGCATAACGGAGTGTCCCATCTAAGCAAAATATTCTGGGAGAAAACTGCCAGGCACCTTTGGAAAGAAAGAAAATCACCTATGAGGACAAGAAATGAGGATAGAGAAGCCTAATAGAACGAGATTCTTATTCTCATAAAATAAAGTTCTTGCTGGATGCAGCGGCTCAGGCCTCTTAACCCCAGCACTTCGGGAGGCTGAGTGGGGAGGATCTCTTGAGGTCAAGAGTTCAAGACCAGCTTAGGCAACATAGTGAGACCCCCCCCCCCACTTCTCCACAAAATATTTAAGCTGGGCATGGTAGTGTGTGGCTGCAGTCCCAGGGACTCAGGAGGCTGACATGGGAGGATCCCCTGAGCCCAGGAGTTTGAGGTTGCAGTGAGCTATAATCAGGCCACTGCACTCCAGCCTGGGTAACAGAGATCCTGTCAATAAATAAATAAATAAAGTTATCGCTTAACTCCATTGAAATTTTACAAGTTAACCAACTTTAGAAATAAATGCTTTAAAATATAAACTATTAAAATGTCATTTGATTTACATATTAAATTCAAATTTTATATAGAAAATACCCACTATTCTTTCATAGAGAAAACCAAATATACTTACGATTAAATGGTGACACATATTTATCACCCACAGTAACGTATTCCATCTCACTAAAGAGACCAATCCTTTCCATGTCTGTTTTCCCTCCTCCTTCCACAGGCATGGTGGCTTCTGGTGGCACTCTCTATACCGCTAACTTCAAAAGGTTCCTTAGGGTCACTTCTTTTATAGCAAAATCCTACTTTACACTAACAATAAAAATAAAGGGGAAAAGGTTAGGAAAAAAGTGATTATTGATGATCAGTTCTAAATACTTCCAACTTCCAGTCTAGGAGTTTTGTTTTTTTGTTTTTGTGTTTGTTTTGAGACGGAGTTTCACTGTCGACCAGGCTGCAGTGCAATGGCGCCATCTTCACTCACTGCAACCTCCACCTCCCAGATTGAAGTGATTTTCCTGCCTCAGCCTCCCGAGTAGCTGGGATTACAGGCATGTGCCACCACGCCTGGCTAACGTATTTTTAATAGAGACAGGGATTTACCATGTTGGCCCAGGTTGGTCTTGAACTCCTGACCTCAGGTGATCCACCCGCCTCTGCCTCCCAAAGTGTTGGGATTACAGGCATGAGCCCCCGCACCAGGTCAAGAGTCTTGTTTACTGTAAAATAATAGTCTCCTACTCTATGGGGAAAGAATCTACTCTGTGGGGCTGGAGAAGAATACTGGGACTCAAAATTGTCCATATGAGCCTCCCCCTTGACTCTCCATGTGAAGTGCCCACACATTACAAAGGAATGTGTAAAATATCATCTGTTGCACTGCCATTTATCCGTTGAAAATGATAAAATTATTAGTATATAGTGTACTTAAATCCTTTTGAGAAGTTCAGGGTAGATTTTAATATAATTATATAAAGGCAGACATTTTTACAGTTTAGGTAAAATGATTTCAGCATCCTGCATTGTCCCTTATATTGAAAACATAACAGCTTTTCAGAATGCACAACACATCTAGATATTACCCTACAATGCCTGAAGTTGTTTTTTGTTGTTGTTGTTGTTGTTGTTGTTGTTGTTTTTGAGACGGAGTTTCGCTCTTGTTACCCAGGCTGGAGTGCAATGGCGCGATCTCGGCTCACCGCAACCTCCGCCTCCTGGGTTCAGGCAATTCTCCTGCCTCAGCCTTCCGAGTAGCTGGGATTACAGGCGTGCACCACCATGCCCAGCTAATTTTTGTATTTTTAGTAGAGACGGGGTTTCACCATGTTGACCAGGTTGGTCTCGATCTCTTGACCTCGTGATCCACCCGCCTTGGCCTCCCAAAGTGCTGGGATTACAGGCGTGAGCCACCGCACCCGGCCCGTGAAGTTGTTTTTCAAGTTTAAATAAATATAAGAAATGTGTCACTGGTAAATTATCAAGGGAATGGGGAAAAGAACAATGATTTAGGCAAGATAAAAACAAGAACAAAACTAAAAGAACAAAACAGTGATTTCTGAGTATTTGTTAACGAGCATACTTCAACTCTGAGCTTTCTTCGGAAATGACCACTTCAAACAAAGGTGAAATATTAAACATGCAACTCCTTATTTAAAAATTAATGTATTTTTAGTAGAGACAGGGTTTCACTGTTGGCCAGGCTGGTCTTGAATCCCAAAGTGCTGGGATTACAGGCGTGAGCCACCGCGCCCGGTCTTTTACCTTAAATTTAGAGCAAACTGTTTCAGTGCCTCCTTGCAAGCCTGCCTGAAACAGTGGCTCACCTGTGCATGAATCATTGCTAATGTGTAACATCAAAGGGGCAAGTGAAGATTCATTTTAAACTAAGCAAATATAACACTCTTCTCCACATCCTACCTCTTCCATTGATCAGGGATGCTTTAAAACCAAACATCAGTCAAGATGCAGTACTTTGATTTACAGTATACTTCAAAGCTCCACCCCATTGACCAACCACAAAGGATTCCTGTGCAGCTACTGGGCCTAAATGTCTCAGGTCCTTTATCAGCCAGCCTCATCTGCCACCATGGAAACCCCCTCGTGGCCCCTTGGCTGCGATTGTCCTCTTTCCGTCCTTAGACTGGGCTCTCTCAAGCCGCAGGCCCATCCTCCATGCCGTTTCTCTGGAGGCAGCTACTCCGCATGCCGCCCCTTTCTCTCCACACCCCACCCCTCGCCATTAACACTGCTTCTTCGGACTGCTCAGTTTTTTAATCACTTCTTTAACTCCATCACAGTGCCATGTACTTCTTCCAAGCCCTTAAAGTGCTTCTCTGCTAGGTCATCAGCTTACATTCGTCGTGAGGGATCCTTTCACTAATAGCTGTTTGCCCTAATACACTTGGCTCCACAAGGGCAGGAGCTGCAGCGAGACTGAGGTTTCTCCCTCTCAGGGGATCCCGGCGTCCGCGCAGCTCCCAGCCAGGGAGGAGGAAGGAAAGAAATTATTGCCTAGAACTTTCCCACTACTAATTTTTTTTTTCTTTTTAGTAGACACGGGGTTTCACCATTTTGCCCAGGCTAGTCTCGAACTCCTGAGCTCAGGTGATCCGCCTGCTTCGGCCTCCCAAAGTACAGGGATTACAGGCGTGAGCCACCGCGCCCGGCCCCGCCACTACTTAGCTCTTCTTGAGCAACATTTACGAAATCATTTATTCATTTATTTAACATAGACTCTGCAAACCCCTTCGGGCCAGGCTTGCTGGTAAAAACTAGAAACACAGATTTAAGAAGGCACAGATGCTGCCCCAAGGAGAGGCATCTATTAGACAAGAAAACCGTGTAGAGCGGAAGTATGGCACGTTCCCTTGGAAAGGTAAGAAAGGTACGGATAAACTGTCGTGGGAGGTGAAGAGGGGACAGAAAAGTGGAGGAGGTGATGAATCTACTTCCCAGGAAGTAAACGGAGGCTCGGAAGAGGCAGGCATCTAAGGGACAACACCTGGCGTCGGCGAGGACCAAGTCACCTCTCCCGAGGATGCCCACTCCGACAGCCGAGATCAGGTGGCCCCAGGTAGTTTGGATTAACCGCGCTACAGGAGCGGCGAGGCTTCCCCGCCGCCGGCCAGACGCCCGGGCCGCTAAGCGCCTCAGCATGTTCTGCCTGACCCGGCGTTGATGGTGATGTGTTGCCCCGGATACGGGAGAATCCATTACAGGCACGCTGCGGGGGGAGACGAGGAGATTCGAGTCCGCGCTGAAGAACACATAGAAGGACGTGTGAGCGTCTATAGGACAGAAAAGACTTAACTGAGAGAATTCATCGAACTTGAGTCTTCGGCCACCCGCCTCTCGATGCAGGCGGCGAGGAGCTGTATTCTGGTACGCTCCGTGACGTGTTGCCGCCGAGCATGTCGGGAGTTGTAGTTGTCCCGACCGGGCCCCGCCCCTCGGCCGGCGGAGCGCCACTTCCGGTCCGGCCCCCCGGGACCTTTTGGCTGGCGTCAGCGCCCCTGTCACCGCCACGTCGCGGACATGGTGAGTGTTTCTGCTCGTTACCGACCCCCGTGTTTCCCCCGGACTTTGGCAGCTGCCACGAGCCAGGCTCCACAGCGCCTGAAGGGAGCTGGTCCTGCCAGAGCCCGCGATGGCCGCTGCGAGCTCCGTGGACTCGGCGGCCTGTCTCCGCTCTGGGCTGGAGGGAAAGTGCCCCCCACACGTGTGCACCTCGCCTCGACCACCTTGGACGGGCACGCCCGCCCCTCCTCTGTGTGAAAGCATTTTGAGAGACTTTTCGGCGTTTTTGAAGCCTAGGAAGAAAGGTTTAGCCTGGGAAAGAGGCGCAGCTTTCTTCTAATATATGCTAATATATTCCCCTAGTACCCCTGGTTCTGTCTCCTGGTTTTCCTCCTGTCTCATTGCTCAGCAAGGCTGTCCAGTCCCTGTCGTAAATGTTGGTGCTCCTCAGGATTACTTTACACCCTATTCGTTTTCCTAAAATTTTATCTCTAAGTTATACCTCTCTCCTGAGCTCCAGACCCACAAATCTGCTAACCGTGCCTTCACTTGGATAGCTCAGATGCATTTCAAACTCTGCAGGTTCCAAACTGATCATTTTCACCTCCCCACACTCCACACCTGCTCTTCCTCCAGGAACCCCCAACTCTGTAAATGGCACCGCCATACACCCTGTTATGCCTGCTCAAAACCTGGAAATCATCCTTGACATGTTCCTCTTCTCAACTCCTGAACATGGAATCAGTAATCAAGTCCTATAGATTCTACTTCTAAATGTCTGTCTGTTGTCACTGTCTCTACTCTTACCGTCCTTGGCCTTGCCGCCATGAGATCTAACCATCTGGAGTGGTCACCTAGGTGGTCTTTTAAGCAGATCTTCACTACTAATCGATGCCCCTTCCTGGAATGGGCTGTTGCACCTTCACTCATCCTTCAGATCTCAGCTTAAGTGTTATTTCTTCAGAGAGTATCTCAACAAATTCGGAAGTCTAGGAAGACTAGTGCTTTCATGAATGATGTCTTACGGAATCTTCACAACAACCCTGGGAAGTTGTATATTTTTCCAGTTTTACAGAAGACAGACTTCAGTGATTCGTTAAAATGTGTAAAATTATACAGTAAGAGGCCGGGTGCAGTGGCTCACACCTGTAATTGCAGCACTTTGAGAGGCTGGGGAGGAGGGGGGGAATCACCTGAGGTCGGGAGTTCGAGACCAACCTGACCAACCCCGTTTCAACTACAAATGGAGAAACCCCGTTTCTACTAAAAATACAAAATTAGCCAGGCGTAGTGGCGCATGCCTGTAATCCCAGCTACTCGGGAGGGTGAGGCAGGCGAATATCTTGAACCCGGGAGGTGGAGGTTGCGGTGAGCCAAGATTGCCCCATTGCACTACAGCCTGGGCAACAAGAGTGAAACTCTGTCTCAAACAAATAAAAATAAAATTATACAGTAAGTAGCAGAGTTAAAATTTGCTCTGTCTGTCTTTATAACTTTTATCTTAAGTATCTTTAAACATTTTTTATTTAAATGAGCGCATACTAGTTTGTATGGTAGTATTTTTCTTTAACTGATTTCTTATTGATAGCTATTTAAGTGGTTTCCATCTACTTTTTTGTGATGAACAACAGTAGGATAAATGTACAACAGGGAAGCTAAATTTGTCCTGAACTTCCTTGTTTCCTTAGAATAAATTCCCAGAAGTAGAATTGGGACAAAGGGTCTATGATCTTTCAACAGATTACAATTTTAGAATAAATAAGAACAGTGACCCTTATAGAAAGGTAACAAAGGTTCTATAAAATGAGAAAAAAATGTATTGGTATCTATTGAATAGTGTTCTGAGGATTGGAGTGAGTATGTATGTTAAGCATAGTGCCTTTTACGTGTTTTTGCTTCATTTTGTTTTATTTTTGGGAGACAGGATCTTGCTGTGTTACACAGTCTGGATTGCAGTGGTGCGATCGTGGCTCACTGCAGCACTGACCTCCCAGGCCCAAGCAGTCCTTCCACCTCAACCTCAGACTCAAAGTGAGTGCAGGCCACCACACTCAGCTAATTTTTGGTGGTTGTTTTTTTTGTAGAGATGGGGATCTTCCTATGTTGCCCGGGCTGGTCTCTAACTCCTGGGCTCAAAGTGTTTCTCCCGTCTCTGCCTTCCAAAGTGTTGGGATTACAGGTGTGAGCCACTGCCACGCTGCCTGCACCTTTTACACTTGAAGAGCTCAGTAAATGTTAGTACTTACTCATTTATTTAAAAATAGGGGTCTTAGTGTGTACCATGGTTCTTCAGCCTGTTTGGGAGATGTGTTTTCAGAATCCGATTAAATTTTTGAAATTTCTTCCCAAAATAAATCTTCACCTCTCTTTCTCCCTTACTGTCTCATTCTCTCATGTATATATGTATGAATATATGTTTGTCAATACATGTCATTTGTCATATATCATCAACTAGCTGAAACTCAACATATAGATCCAAGTTAAGAACTGATCAGTTCCATTTTGCAAGTGCTTTTTTTCCTTTATAAGTTGTAAGCATTGTCCTGTGCCAGGACACTGGCCATGTTTTTAATTTTCAGCAAAAACATGATTTTCTTATGGCTATATGAGATTCATACTTATTTAACCAATTTCTTGTTGTTGGCAGTTAGGTTAATATCCTTATACCCGAATCTTTGTGTTTTCCAGATTTTTCTTAGACTAAGTCGAAGATTCTAAGTGCGTAATCACTACATCAAACCTATGAATAGAAATCTTTGATTCTTACTGCCATATTCTATGAAGAATTGAACCAGTGGATACTCCCACCCTCAGTATTAGTTTTCTCTCATTGTCTTGACTCCCTGGTATTATCATATTGGATTCAGTGCTTTGTCACGTTCTTAAATTAGTTCTTACCATTGATGTTTTCTTGTCATTGTTAAACCCATCAAGATTACAGTTTAGAAAGATTGTCTTAAAGCAGTAGTTCTCAACAGTTCATAGTAGAATCGCTGGCATGCTGACCTAGGGTGCTTTTAAATAGCCCTGGGTGTAGTGGCTCAACCCTGCAATCCCAGCAGTTCGGGAGGCTGAGATGGGCGAGTCACTTGAGATCAGGAGTTCAATGCCAGCCTGGCCAATATTCTGAGAACCCGTTTCTACTAAAATGCAAAAATTAGCCAGGCATGGTGGTGTTTACCTGTAATCTCAGCTACATGGGAGGCTGAGACAGGAGAATCTCTTGAACCCAGGGGGCAGAGGTTGCAGAAAGCTGAGATTCCAGCCTGGGTGACAGAGTGAGGCCCCTGTCTCAAAAAAAAAAAAAAAAAAAAAAAAATCCCTGTGCCTAGGCCTATCCCTTAGACCAAGTAATCCGAATCTCTGGGGGTACAGCCCAGGTATTGGTGTTTCAAGCTCCCCAGTATGTAACAAAGGTTGAGAACCTCCGATTTAAAATTTTGGAATTGTTTTTGTTTTTTCCATAAAACAAGGAATTAACTTATGAAATAATTTGAAGAATCAAGCTTAATTAATGTCTTAAACTCAATTAGATTTTAATTTATATGAAAATGAGGTTTTTTTTCTATAAGAGAATTTTGTTTTTATTTGTTCTAGGTGATTTCAGAAAGTATGGATATACTCTTCAGAATAAGAGGAGGCCTTGATTTGGCTTTTCAGCTAGCTACTCCTAATGGTAGGTCTTCTGAAAAATTCTTTTTTATTAGAAAATTGATAGTGAAATATACTGAGATTATCTCCATTTTGCAAATGAAACTGCTGAGTGAGCAGCAGGATAAACTGAGATTATCTAGTTAGTATATGGGACTTAGACACTGTGTCCCAGCACACCCACCAGCCCATGGAGTACCCCTGTGCAAATTAGAAAAAGATGTCCCCTTTCTTAAGAAACTTTAATCCCCTCTTCCTTAATTGTCACAATAAATGTAAATATCCGCAATGAGCACATTGTAAATGCGCATCGAGAATTGCACATTACAGACTTGCAATTGTATATATAATCCTGAGTCTCCAGAACCCACTCTCTTAACTACCACCTTATAAGGGGATGAGTACGAAAAACCCTATGGGAGAAAAATCAAAAGGGTTTATATGAAGCAAATTCTAGGATGTCTTCCTGTTGCTGACTTGAACTACAGCCACAAACTGAGATAAAGAACGTCAGAGGAGGAATGGGATGAGTTGTGTTTGAGATTTGTTTCGTTTGGGATGCCAGTGCCAGGTCAAGTACAGATTCTCAGCAGGCATTTGGCTGAGTCCGAAATTTAGAAGACAGTGGTCAGAGTTGGAGCTAGAGAATGCAATGTCTCCGAAGAATGGTAGTTAACACCTTCATAATAAATTATATCACTTGTGAGAAGTACGACTGGTGGTGCCAGAAGCCACAGAGAGGTTCAGAAAGATAAGGAATGAAAAGTACTGTTTTGGTCTGTTTCCATTGCTGTAAAAAATACCTGAGACTGGGTAATTTATAAAGAAGAGGTTTATTTGGCTCGCAGTTCTGTCGACTCTACAAAAAGCATGGTGCCAGCATTTCTGCTTCTGGTGAGGCTCAGAAAACTTTCAATCATGGTGGAAGGCGAAGGAGAGGTCGGTGTATCACATGGCAAAAGAAGAAGCAAAAGAGAGGGGAGGAAGTGCCAGGCTCTTAAA